GGGAGACCTGGGTTCAATCCCTGGGTTGGGAAGAGGTCCTGGAGAAGGGAAAGTCTATCCACTCCAGTATTCTGTCCCAGAGAATTCCATGTACTGTATAGTCCATGGGGTTGCAAAGAGTTGGACACGACCGAGCCGCTTCCAGTTTCACATATACACACACACATACACACACAAAATGGAATATTAGTCATTAAGTAGAATTAAATAATGCCTTTTGTAGCAACATGCAGGCTTCCTAGATGGCCCTATAAAGAACCCTCTGCCAAAGCAGGAGACATAAGAAACGCAGCTTTGATCCCTGGGTTGGGAAGATCCCCTGGAGGAGAGCACGGCAACCCACTCCAGTATTATTGCCTGGAGAATCCCATGGACAGAGAAGCCTTGGTGGGGTGCAGTCCATAGGGTCGCAAAGAGTCAGACATGACTGAAGCAACTTAGCATGCACGCCTGCAATGACATGGAGGAACCTAGAGATTGTCATGCTGAGTGAAGTAAGTCAGAAAGAGAAGGAGAAATATTGTATGACATTCCTTACATGCAGAACCTAAAAAGAAATGATACAAATGAACTTATTTACAAAACAGAACAGACTCACAGACTTAGAGAATGAATTAATGGCTGCCGGGCAATGGGGGGGTGCGAGGAAGAATGGGAGGAAGAGATAGGGAGCTGGGATTGACATCTATACTCTGCTATGTTTCAAATGGATAACCAACAGGGTCCTACTGTATAGTAGAGTGAACTCTGCTCAATGTTATGTGGCAGCCCAGATGGGAGAGAAGATGGAGGAAAATGAATACATGAATATGTATGGCTGAGTCCTTTTGCTGTCCATCTGAAATTAGCACAACATTCTTAATCAGCTATACTCCAATATAAAATAAAAAGTTTTAAACAACAGCAACAAAACAACAAAAAACTTGATGGGCAGACAAAACATCAAGAGTGTCCTTCACTTTTTTGTACTTGTTTAAAGAACTGTATAAAGCCTGTTTACTAGACATGGAATAGTGATCAGTCAAAGGACAGGATATTTGTCAAATAAAGGGCAATGAACCAAGAAGAGATCACAAATATCTCAGGAGATCCAGGATTGGACCCTGAATTGACACTGGTTGGGACTCTAAAGGAAGGGTTGTTATGTTAAGTGGCTTCAATTGTGTCTGACTTTGCAACCCTGTGAACTGTAGTCTGCCAGGCTTCTCTGTCCATGAGTTTCTCCAAACAAGAATACTGGAGTGGGTTGCCATTCCCTTCTCCAGAGGATCTTCCTGACCCAGGGATCAAACCCACATCTCTTATGTCTCCTGCATTGGCAGGTGGGTTCTTTCCCACTAGCGCCACCTGGGAAGCCCTCTGAAACCACAAAAAGAGAAAATGAAAATCACTCAGTTCTCTCTGACTCTGAGACCTCATGGACTGTAGCCTGCCAGGTTCCTCTGTCCATGGAATTCTCCAGGCAAGAATACTGGAGTGGGTAGCCATTCCCTTCTCCAGCGGATCTTCCCAACCCAGGGATCGAACCCAGGTCTTCCTCATTGCAGGTGGATTCTTTGCTGTCTGAGCCACGGGGGAAGCCCCTGAAACCACAGGGTTATCTACAAAAGCAGGTTCCTGCTCAGGACACTCTTGACTGCTGGAAGGGAAGACATTATGATACATCATTGTAAGCGCTCTATACAGAGGAGTGCAGGGACTTCACTCTGCATTCTGCACCCCCTGCATCTATACCAACCTTCTGCTGTCTACACCCTAATGGGAATAGTCTACACAGAAGCTTTCCATTTCTAATGAAGCAGTTTTTCTTATTGCATTAAAAATACATCGTGGGGACTTTCCTGATGGTCCAGTGGCTAAAACTCCACACTCCCAATGCAGGGGGCCCAGGTTCAATCCCTGGTCAGGAAACTAGATCCCACATGTTGCAACTAAGAATTCACATGCCACAAGTGAAGATCCTGCATGCCACTAGGAGGTGCAGCCAAATAAATGTTAAAAACAAATATTAAAATTTGGTGCAGCCAAATAAATATTGAAACAAAAGAAAACATTGTGCATATGAGATGGGCTGAGGCACTTTCAAAAGAGTTAAGGAAGTTTGGGGAGGGATGTAAATTCTTCAATGCTTTTCCTTCCTTCACTCCACTGACAGGTCTATAAAGCATACCTGCCCGCCCCCACTCTCTACTTGACACGTACTTGCACTTCACATCCTGGTGTTGGCAAGGAATGAGCAGTTTATCGAAACTAAGCTGTATGGGTGGGACCAAACAGTAACAGAGATAACCGCAGATATATTAACATGACAATTGAATTTCACATCTGCGGAGTGCTCATACTTCCAGAACTTTGACTGCCCTGCTGTGCTCTCATAACTGCTTTTGAAAAGGTTTTCTAGCTCTGAAGAAATCAAATCAAGTCTGTTCCTAAGCAAAGTGAGATTTCCAAACTGCAGCCACTCTAGAAATTCTAAACATCATTCAAAAGAAGATTTCAATCTCAGTGTTTCTTCTTTCTCTAAGGAGCTGTTTGGCCCCTTTCTACCTGGACTGGAACAAAGGTACAATTTAAAATTGTTTTCCTACTGAATTTAGGGTTGATCATTTTGATAGTCTGTCTTCGTCTGAGGAAAAGGTACAAGAACTGAGAGCTCTTGGTCGGGGGTGAGGGTGGGGTGGGGTTCATGATGTTAAGCCCATTTTTGTGGGTATAGTATGCACCATCCAGGAACACCTCATTCACAGATGCCCCGTTACTTAGGTATCGAGCTTGCCATGCCCAGACCCTGCTTGTCCTGGATGGTTATCTGCCAGGGCACCCTCTCTCCAAGCCCTGTGCACTTCACCCAGCCCCGTCTCTGGTGACATCTCCTTTTCTGTAGATTGCCCTTCTTTTTCCCTCTGGCTGCCCGTCGATCTTGTCTTTGGAATTTTCCTTCCACTAGTACCTTACCTACTGCTTTGCCTGGTCCTCAGAAAGCTTTAGCACCAAAAGAGATACTAAGGATTCAGAGGTGAAAGAGGATGGGGGACTCAAGATTTGGAGATGAGGGGTGCTCTGAACTAAGATGTACCCTGATATCATGGCTCAAAAGGGCAGTCTGTTTTATAGCTCTTAAGAATTAAATGCTGACTATTCAGGGCATGGATAGGATTTCGTGAGCTGGAGTAGAACTTAATTGCCATTTATAGCTTGATTCTATGGGGAAATATTGACTGCAACCCAGATAAACTTTATTGTCACCTAGTCACAATGGGGGCACTGTCTGTAGGATAGTTAATTTTTAGAATGCCAATGTTATATGTGGGTACATGCTAGTTCCTAAGAAAATATGAACCTATTCTAAAGATATTTTAGGCATAATGGCATGTGTAAGTTCCAGGTTATTAAAAAAAAAACAAGGGTTTCCAGGAATCACTGTGAGCCAGTAATTAGAATGTTCATTTATTCTTTTGAGAAATAATGTTCTGGTAGACTCTAAGGGTGCAAGTCAAATTCACACAGCCTGGGTTCCTTCCTTCCTGTGACTGTCACCTATTTCTAGGGGATACACATATTAATTAATCTCATAACTAAACATGAGATTATAAGTTTGATAAGTCACATGAAAGAAAGATACACAGTGCTGTGTGTATAACAGTAGGATTTGACCTTCTTTGGGGACGATTTCCCAGTGGAGATGATGACTGAACTGCAATCAAAAGGATAAGGAGAGTTAAATCTGTGAAGAAGGCCTCAGCAAGTATAGTCTAGGTATCAGCCAGTATGTTGAGGAAATGATATTAGAGAAAAAAACATAGATCAAAAGGAGCTGGAGGAAGTGATTGGGGTCCCTGTGCATCACCTCTGCGGCCATTTTAGGAATTTTGTTCTTTGTCCTAGGAGCAATGGGAGGATATGATGCATTTTTAAGAGGTGGGAGAAGGATTCACAGGATGAGGTTTTTTTGAAATTTTGATTTTAAATATGTCATTCTGACCATAGTGGAAAGAACAGAGAGTGAATATAGGGTGACCCTTGAAGAGGCCATGACAGTAGTCCAGAGGGAGATGATGGTAGCTTGGATCAGGGTTGTAGAATGGGATGGTTATGAGATCGACTTAAAAGGTAAAAGTGAGAGACTTGAATCGAATATGGGGTAGTGAGAGAAAGGGTGGTGTCAAAGGTAATGGGGGTGTCATGGTGGACCGTTGAAGGTGGGGATGGATGAGATGTGTTGAACTGGATTTTGGACACACTCAGTTTCAGGTGTCTTTAGGACGTCCTTAAGTATATGTGTAAAAGGCAGTTAGTTCTACAGACATGGCTTCCTGGATCAGATCTGCTCATATGAGAGTCATTGTGTTCCGGAGTCATGGGTGTGGATGATCCCTTAGGGGGAAAATGTTAAATGAGGAAGGTGCAGAACTGAGCCTTGGATTTCCCTGGTGGTCCAGTGGTTAAAGTCCAGTGGTTTGATTCCTGGTCCAGGAAGATTCCACATGCCTTGGAGCAACTAAGCCTTTGTGCCGCAACTACTGAGGCCCAAGCGCCTAGAGCTTGTGCTCTGCAACCAGAGAAGTCACCTCAATGAGAAGCCCGCACACTGCAACTGGAGTTAGCCCCCGCCCGCTGCAATGAATACCCAGCACAGCCAAAACTAAATTACAAAAAGAAAAGAATTGAGCTTTTAGGAGCTACAATGTTTCATGACCAGGTAGACAAAGGAAAGATGAGTCTCCAATGCAAGTATAAGAATGGTCAGAAATGTCGGATAAAAACTAATAAGCAATGAGGTGTGTAGAAACTACCAGCACAGAAAGTATGTCCCGCTGTAAACAGGAAGTGAAAGAACTAACTGGAGAGGATTCAAGGCTGAGCTGTCTTTTTTTAATGGGAGGGACTTGGAGAGTTTTTAGTCTTCCTCCCCTTCTCCCTCTTCTGCCTGCCCACCCTCCTCCCCTCGCCTCACTGCTCCCTGGACCACAGGCCTGGGTGGATCCTCCTGGCGTGGCCGCGGAGGCCTCCCAGGGGACGTTTTGTAAATGGAATTCTGTCGTGTGGGCGTGTGACTTGATGTTTGTACCGCGATTTTGGTAATACCAAGCTTTATTAAACATACCGAGTTCATTTTTAACTAAACCCGTGTGCCTTGTCTCTCTTGCTGTGTCCTGACTGGACCATTAGGTTGCCGCTTCCCTCATTTGTTCCCCCCTCCCCCCTCCCCGCCCCC